GGGTAGTAAAAAAAGAAACTGGGTCGTAGTAGTCGCTCGCTGCAGTCGTGAACAGCTTCTGTGGTGTCAGCGTGTCACTGTCTGCCGCGCGTGAACGATGCGCACATGAAAACTGGGTTGACTTTAGATCTAACCGAGATTTTATAGTAAATTTTTCACCCTTCGCCAAATTCTGGAACACCGACATTTTTATCTTCCTCGATCTGAAATTGGTCTTTGATTCAGTCGACCGATCCGAACTCTCGCGCTTTCTCTCCCTGAAGGGTATTTGCTAGAGAAGTTTATTTCAATATTACGATCTTTTTATACGAACAGTGGTAGCCCGGTTCGAGCTTACGGCATATTTTCATCTGAGTTCATCGCGGAAAGTGTTCGTCAGGTTTTTTTATTTCACTTTATCTATTTTATTCTGGAAACAGTCTCTTCCATGAATTTGATATGGGGTCTGTAGGTGACATTTTACCGCTAAGTAAAGATCCAGGTAAGCTTGTGCTAGTGTATCCATGTGCAGCATATATTTTGCATCTCTAAGTGTACTATTTTGCCACAGGACTTGGTTAGTCCAGCCGCCAACCTCACCCCAACTGTGATAGTACTAGGCAGCTGCATTTCACCTGGAGGACACATCACGGATAAAGTGTCAACATGCACACAGGTTTGATTGGCATTTTTCAACCTGAGACAAAGCCCCGTCGCGACTTCCGGCATGCTATGAACAGTCGTTTGGCCACTGCTCTACTGTGCGGGGACTGGGCCGTTGCGAAAACAGGATGAAGGTAGACTGTCAGTGTTCTAAAGCCGCTGTATCCGCCGCAGTGAACGAGTCTGGTGGGGAAACCGGACGAGTAATGCTGATGTAAGGCGTAAAGTTGTAGGTAATCGTGGTCGTTCATTGGGGAAAGTAATTGACGTCCAGTGATTGCGTTGTTTTGGGCATGAGTTATGCATATCTCCAAATAGATGTCCATGGTGCGCGATGTGTTTTGGGGTAGATAGAGGGTGGGCACTCAGACAGATTTGGCCCGAGAGTATGAGAACCCTGACCAAGGGATTCGCTCATATAGGTCGCGTTAAGCTCCCTGAACGGGGACCTCGAGATAGTTGTAATCAATGGTAAGATACGCTGGTATAGCTGAGTGTCGTGAACACTGGCGCTTGTGCATCTCTCTTTCTTTGGAACCTTAGTCTACCAGAATTCCCCAATGTCTCTTCGACATTGCTTTCAAATTTCCAATTTTCCTTTAACCTCTTCATTCAATTGAACAGCCAAAAGACAGCAATCAAAACCGGCGCACGAAAGTGCATGGGTAATGATTGTACAAACTGAAACTGAACTAGAACTATTGCTGTTTCAAAAACGGTGAACATATAGTGGCTTGTCGGCGATTGCAGCTTCTGTACTTCATATTTTCAAGGACCAGTTGAGGATCAGTGAATAGAGCTCCATTCTCTGAGCAACAAAAGTTAGTCCCCAGAAGGTATGTAAATGTGCTTTGTTCAAATCAAACCGGATTACTGTCGCATTCATATCCGCCGCTAAGATTTCGCTGAAGGTCCGATTCGATTTTTGGTTTTCAGGTTGAACAAGCACTGCACTTGTAAGACGGTTTTGGTTTGTATTTGTATTTGTATTCTTGTAACTTGTGTAAGCATATATGCTTACATTTCAGTTAAAAATGTACACTGTTCGTCACGCAGAATGAAATAATAATAAAAACGAAAGGTGAAGAATGTCGGTGATATATGTTTCACGCACAAAACTTTTGACGTAGTTTGTTTGATACCTGTTCCTTTTTGGTAAGTAGTCGGGCCAAGTAGGGTACAGGGGAATTTTTATAAATGTTAACCCGAGAGGGTAGCTATCGAAATGGGGAGCGTGTGGACGGATGGGAACGGTAAGACGATAGATCAGGGTGTAGTGGATGAAGAGGATCATCTAGAATCTTGTGAGCAAATTTAAAACAAGAGTTGATGTGACCATCAATGAGTTCTGTGATTGATAAATCGATTGGGATTAATGATGCACGACGAATGGTTTCCAAGTTTTGTTTTAAAAGACCGGGAAACACTACAGGGGGGGCAATAAAGTGGAATGGGTAAAACGCATTGATGAACGAAAGATGACAAGACTTTGGGGTTCGGAATTGCCTCATTTTGCGTAACTGAAAAGATAGGCGTCTCAGTTTTCCCATACAGTTGTGGATATACGTAGACCAACGAAGGTTACTGTCGATGATGACACCCAGGTACTTGACTGAGGTCATTCTGGATACAAGTTTACCGTTAAGAGTAGCAGAGTCCGTTGGAAATGAGGAGCGGGAAAGACTGAAAATACACTCTACGCATTTAGATATGTTAAGACTGAGACCAGATTGGTCAGAAAACTGTTGGATGTGGGATAGGTTTTCAGTAAAAAATGGAATTTCGAAAGAGATGAAACTGTCTGACACAAAACAACGTCATCAGCATACTTTTGGATGTGCGCAGGGGGTGGGACAGAAAGATCGCTAATAAAGGCAGAAAAAAGATATGGAGATAGAACAGCATCTTGAAGAAGACTAGAATTATTAACAAGAGGTTTTGATGCCCTCCTTCCTAATTTGGTGCACTGGACCCTCTGTGTGAAATAGTCAGCAAGCCATGAGAGCAGTTGTTTTGGAGTGCCAAAAGATTCAAGTTTGAAAAGAAGAGATGATCAGGAAACAGAATCAAACGCAGACGGATAGTCAAGAAAAACACAACGGACAGACTTGACCGAATGGTTTAATGAATTGCTGATAAAATGCACTAGAGTAGATACGGCGTCCAATGTAGGTCTGTTTGGTTTGTATGCAAACTGAAGGGGGTCGTGAGGAATTGTGGTATCTGCATGCAACCGACTCAGGATGGCCTTTTCAGTTACCTTTAGAGCCGTTGAGGTCAACGCGATAGGACGAAACCGTTTCGCAAGAACAGTTGAGGACGTGGATTTGGGGATCGGACTAATGGTCACTGGATGCCAAGAATGAGGAATCGACCGGGAAGATAGGGACTCATTGACGATGGATGCCATCATATTGGTTAGGGAAGCTGTTCCAAATTTCAGAAGTGCCGGAGGAAGATCATCAGGGCCTGCAGCTGAGAATGCTTTGCAGGATAGAAGAAGCTTAAAGATTCAATCATTGGAAAAAGGCACTAAACTGAAGTCATTGCACAGAAATGAGGGAATCTGGCGCTCCTTTGACGAGTGAATGAAAGCGGCGTTGAGGCTGTTGACATCCATAGAGGTATTAGAATGTTTTCTTTTCTGCCCACAGAGAAGGCGAATACCTTGCCATAAGAGCCCGGTGTTTTTTGTTCGCAGAATTTGGGCGACGAAGATTGCATTGAGGTACGTTATCTCGGACCTGACTAACTTAGAATAGTGCTTTACAAGTGATGCAAGACGAGACTTGTAGGCCAGTTCTTTGTACCTTCTCAGTGATTTCAAAAATGTTGAGGTGATTCTACCGTTACAGACAAATAAGGTTTTCATTGGACAACACAAGTCAAAGATTGATTCAATTGTATCAGTGAACAGATTGACAGATTTAAAAAGCGAAGGACAAGAACCAAACCAAGACTGAACAATCACAATAGAACGGTTGAGAAGAGAAACACGGTTGGGCGAAAATTCCTTTAGGTGAAATTTTATCTGAGTAGAACGTGTGAATGCTTGATAAGAAATGCGAGAGTATACCTTTGGTCTAAAAAGAAGAATACTGTGGTCACTGGTAGAAACTGGGGCCATTAGTTCGAGAGAGAATAAGTTGGGATGGTTTGTGATCACTCTGTCCAGCACAGAACTACCTCTGGTAGGAGAATGAGAAAGGTCAGACAAACCAAACAGGAGCAAGGGAGAAATGCTTGCATGATTGAAATCACCAACAATTAAGTGGAGATTTTCATCTAATAATGGAACTAGAAATGGAATATAGGAATCAAAGAAAGAAGAAATGTCGGTCCGAGTACATGAGGGAGATATATACACATTGGTGATGATTGTACTTTTAAGACGAGAAAATTTAGGGTGACAACGAACAGACAAACAGTCAATGCATTTTTCAGAATAGTTATATATAACTTCTGACTTGCCACATCAGGAAACATTGATGTAAGTAGCCACACCGCCTCCGTTTTTTTTTTCCTACTTCGCTATCTACCCTGCCGGTAGCAATCAAACCCTTCTATTCGCACGAGAACGTCCTCGATGTTTTGATTTAGCCAACACGTGTTGGAATTAATGCGTGTGTTCAGAATAGAGGTTAAATCCAAGATCTCTGTGAATAGTGAGCGGACGTTGGTGCTGGCCAATGACGGCATAGTCATCTTGGCAGGAGGTGTGGAAGTAAGCGCAGTCTGCCATCCGGCCCGTCTTCTTTTTGATCCATGGGCTTTTATGACTCTCACCGAGGAAATAATCAGTGGGTAGCACGAAATTCACAGTTTTTGATCGTAGCATGTCGTGGCGAGAATATTTGTAGATTCTGGTCATGATTAGCACCGGTATCTGGATGAGGTTACTGTCTTTTGGCTATCCATATATTTAGCCCATGAGAAGGAATTGGATAGAAGAGGTCTTGTGGTTATTTTTGGAAGTTATTTTCGAATATTGTTTTGATTTGTGGACACGCTCTCCGTGACGACAAGCGAACTGCGTCCATCGAAGCAGTGAATATTTGCTTCACGCGCACCTGGTCTCGCTGAGCAGGTAGGAAATGGAAAAGACTGATTTCCAATGTTATGCCTGACAGTCATACAGCCACGTACATTACATTCGCTGTCCTATTTACCAGTAGGGCTGGTCTTAGTGGAGGGTGTCACTTTGTGCACAGTTCGGTTATATGTAATCTTAATTCAGTGGTTTAGTCGCTGTCACTGGCGTGCTTTGGACTCTATGGTTCGAGGTTCGAGCCCCGCCACTGCCACCCAACTTTTTTGGTAGACAGCTTAGCTGTCATCCGGTTCGATGTCACACCTAACCTGTCGGGGCCTTATATGGTTCGCCTCTCCAAGTCCGGGGCTTAGGCTTGGACGAACCCTCGCCAGCTAATCGGTTTCCCGAGCTGTATCCCCGACAGTACTGGAGGCCATGCTCAACTGTTTTCAAAAGTTGCAGCAATTCCTCCCGTGGGATTATCGGACCATTGTCTTATTTCGCTCTCTGCCCAAATTATTCGTTCCACCGTTCCTCCCAATTTCAGACGCACATCCTGGCGATACAGTTCCGTTGATCGGTGCAGCTTTCATAACTTTCTGGCTTCCTACCCCTGGAATGAAGGTTGCTTCTCCGCCGATGTCTCTATCTCGGCTTAGAAGTTTTCCAAAGTTATTTTGCAAGGCATTTACTTAACTATTCCTCATTTCACTAAACCCGACAAGCCTTTCTTTAGAATAGTTTAACCAAGCCTGTTGTCACGCTGTTTGTAAAAAGAAATCAGCTTTCCGCCGCTGGCGTCGTTCACCTTCCCTCCGATGGTTCCTGTTGGCACGCAACAACTGTACAACCATCATGCAGAAGGCTAAGGAGCACTATGTTGAGCGCAAAGCAGCATAGTAAGCAACCAGTAATTCCGGAGGCCGAGCGTTCTGATCACTTGCCAAGGCAGTCTCCCGAAACTTCTGTTCCATTAACTTCTCACCCATTGTTAAACCATCTGATGACTCAGTGTCCGACCCACTTGAAAAGGCCGAAATGTTTGCCTCCCATTTTGCTTCCAGTTCTACCCCACTCCAATCAGTCATCCAACCCTACACACCCTACAGTGGACCATCCTGCGGGTGGCGCAAACATGATGCATTTCCTACGGTTTGGGACTGAGAAGAGGAAGTAGACAGATGAGAAAGATGATTTTCCAAATGAGTACCTACTTTGGGGAACAGCATACTTCGCGATAGCCCACACCGACGAAGGGGTTTTCCTTTGGGAACCCTAAACGGAGCCTTCGACTCAAAAGTTTGACCCACAAGGCAGTGGGGCGTAGATCCAAAGCGGGAGCGTGAACGGAGTGCCCGTGTGGGAGCTTCTGGAGACTGATTACGCAAGGCCTTTGAACTTCGGTTCAGTGGGTTGTTCGCTGGTGCGTTGGTTGACGGACCGCTTTTCGGGATCTCATGCACCCAATGAGACAAGCGGAAA